ATGATCGCAATCCTGTGTATTATTTTGCATGAAAAAAAATCAAATTGTTCATTTTGTTAATATCCTTCTTAGTCAGGCTAGAATGTACGTCAGTCGTAACTGGATTTACTGCTTGAGTTAATTTTAGGCTGGACTTTACTTTGTTTGCAATTTCACTTCTTATCACCATATTCTTTGAACATTACGCTCTGTTGCACTCAATGAATATTGCATCAAATGTGATCATTCTAATTTTCTCTTAGGGTTTAAGTTGTCTTCAAGACGATTTTAAATAGTAGATTTCAATATCTTCAGTGCTACTATACTAGCAAATTAAAAGATTGTAATTTTTTCATTCAACAGTTTTGATATTTAGTCAGTTTGACAACAATAATTTTACCCTATCAACCGTTACTCTCTACGGCTCAGAAATAATTGTATATTTTCAAAATATTTTTTATAGTCTTTTGGTATAAATTTTCCCTTACCTTCCAGGAGGTAGAAAACTGAGAATTCTCAGCGGGGGAAGAGAAGGTATGATCGCATTCCTTTTTATTATTTCACATTGAAAAGAAAACAAATGTTGAAGAGAACTGTGGCGGCGGGGGGAAAAAGGAGGTATCATTGCATTCCTTTCTATTATTTCACATGAATTTTTAGGAGCAGTGATTTTTAGAATAATTTTATGATTTTATGATATCTCGTCAGTTCGACAACAATAATTGTACCCTATCAACCGTTACCCTTCGTGACGATAGGCAGCTTAAAAAAGGTTGACTGTTTGCATTACAAATTTTGGAATATCTTTAAGGAAGTGGAAAAAAAAAGTAAAAAGAAAAGAGAGTCGTCGTGGGAAGGAAGAAGGTATGATCTCATGACTTTGCATTATCTAACAGGAGTAAGAAACCTTTGCTCATTTTTTTATTGCCACAGGTAGTAAATATTTTTCAGCAAAAATAATATGAACTTCATAAGTGGACGTTCTGCTTGACCTGCATTTAGAGTTGAGTTAAATTTTGTTATAATTTTACTTTCTTCCACCCGACTCCTTGACCATTAGGCTTTGTTGGAATCAATCAATAATGCATCAAAATGATTATTCTAAATTGCTCTTGAGGGTGAAGCTTGTGATTTAAACTGATTAGAACTGTAAATCTTGATATATTTATTGGATATTCTCTAGATGCTGCCATACCAGAAGAAATTTGGCGCAATGAAGCGCCAAATCGCAAAGGAGTTTAAGCTGCAAAGAAAATCCCCATTCATAATGGTGAATGGGGACAGGAAAAGATTGGAAGAGATAAGGTATTTATGACAATGTATCCCTACTGTATTTTCATGCTTAATGACACCTCTCCCCCCCCCCTCTACTCTCGCACAGCCGCTATTTTCTCTCTCATTAAAGCTCTGCTTAAAATGGCTCTACACACTTTTTTATTAGAATACCTAATTTTCTGCCGACCCTTAATATTCTTAAAAATTTTCGATTTTGATCCTAAGACTATTCTTAAATTATACTTGCTCGACACAAGGTCTTAATTCGCCTTAAGATCAAAGAAAAACATTAAATCTTTCTGATGTGTTGCTTCATCCTGAATTGAGCAAAAACAAACAGAACAACAAATGTGATATTAAAATGCAAATTGTAATTTTACAAATACGATCCTATTCAGATCTGGATAAAGGAAAGTTTTCAGTCTTGATGAAAGTTGAGCCTGGCATAATTCTTAAATTAATTTTAAATTTTAGCAATATCGAGCCTCAATATTCTTATAGACTTTATGAGTTTCAATATTTTTATAAACTTTATTTTTATAAAAAAGTGTGTATTCTCAATAAACAAGCATTCAGTTTCTTTTTTACAAACATCTATGTTCGGAAATGCTCCCCTTCATCTATGAGCCCATTTAATAATAAGCTACTAAAACCTTGTAAAGATATTAAGCACCTACATCTGCACAGATTTCAAATTATGTCTCTATGCCTATACACCTTTTTGGTGATAGTATTGAGAGAATTTCGTTTTTCATCTTAACAATACACTCATTATTTATGAGAAATTAAGGTCGATGTTGAGTACTCCAGTTTCTTGATGTTCTGGAAATTTCAATAATCATCGATCTTAAAAGTTTCTTAATTATGATGTCACGAGTGGCCTTTTTATCACATCAAGAGACTTAAGTTGTTCAAGGAGAAGGTTATCAACAACTCTAATGGCCCACTAGGAAAAGTCATCGACTGGTGGGATCGTAAGGAGTTCCAGGCCATGGGAGCCATTCATAACCATATGGTTGTGTGGTGCGAGGAAAAAACAATCCCTGACCTGTAAATAGCTTTGAAAAAAGCAAACATTTAGTAAACTAAAGCTTTTCGTCTGACACTCTTCAGAGTTTAAAACGTCAGAACATAGATCGAAAACGCTACGCTAAGAAATATATATACCCAGTTGTGGATCGAAATAGGCCAATCAGAAACACGAGCACATGACTGTAAAGGTTGACCAATCCAATCAGTGCCGCTTGCCTATTAGAATGTTACCAATGGAGTCCTAAGGTGAAAACGAACTCCTTTTGTCTACACAGTAGCGGTTTTTTCGTGCTTATGTAGATAGATTCTAAAACTGCTAGGTGGAACGACGATCGGGCTTTACCAATATCCGAAACATGTCGCCATTATAGTTTTTTGCACAAACTGGGTTTTCTAGCAAATGCTGCCCGATAGCAGAATCAGGTCTTATTAGTAATTTTGGATTTGCAAGACCAGGTGGCTGTTCTCTTTTGGGTGTGTTTGTATCTTGAAAAACTAACTAAGATTTTTCTGGAGAACGGCTATCCAGAACATGTTATTTCAGTTTACATTAAGGAGAAGATAGGAAATTTCTCGGCTGACGTAAAATTTGGTCCTCAAAAGTGCCCGGTCTATCTAAAACTACCCTGGATCGGTAACAGCTCCCTGCGTTTTGAAAGCCAAATAAAACAGGCCATAACAAATTGTTTCTTCGCGGTTAACCCACGTGTTGTTTACAGTACAAAAAAGGCCCTTCCGTCCATTCAAAAGGACTGCGTTCCTGCCACAAAAAAAAAGTTCTGTTGTGTATGAATTCACGTGCCAGTGTGATTCTGGCTACGTAGGACGCACCACCCAAAGATTGGAGGATAGGATAAAACAACACGTTCCATCTAATATTAGAAACAAAACACATCCCAAAAGAGAACAGCCACCTCGGTCTTGCAAATCCAAAATTACTAATAAGACCTGCGATTCTGCTATCGGGCAGCATTTGCTAGAAAACCCAGTTTGTGCAAAAAACTATAATGGCGACATGTTTCGGATTATTGGTAAAGCCCGATCGTCGTTCCACCTAGCAGTTTTAGAATCTATCTATATAAGCACGAAAAAACCGCTACTGTGTAGACAAAAGGAGTTCGTTTTCACCTTAGGACTCCATTGGTAACATTCTAATAGGCAAGCGGCACTGATTGGTCAACCTTTACAGTCATGTGCTCGTGTTTCTGATTGGCCTATTTCGATCCACAACTGGGTTTATATATTTCTTAGCGTAGAGTTTTCGATCTATGTTCTGACGTTTTAAACTCTGAAGAGTGTCAGACGAAAAGCTTTAGTTTACTAAATGTTTGCTTTTTTCAAAGCTATTTACAAGTTTTGTACCACCGAAAGATTGTTTGCAAATCCCTGACCTCGTGGTTTGTGCTGAAATGCCCAGGGGTAGGGAATTAAACCCTACTGTTAATTCACTAAAGTCTTTTGTTTGATGTCTACAGGTAAACAGATGTCGCAAGGACAAGTGCTTCACCAGTTCTCATGACAAGCCCCTCAGGAAATGTAAGTATGGTTTTCCATACCCAGTTCAGGAGGAGGAGGGGTTGAACAATGATGGCAACAGATTTCTACCTCGTCGCAGATGCCATGAAGACATTTTGGTTGTTTCCTACAATCAGGAAATACTTTACCTGTGTGGAGCACACATGAACATCCAGAAAGTCACAGCAGAAAGTCACAGCAGAAAGTCATGTTGCTAAAAGTGAGCCTTCCTTTCAGCTGGAAGTATCAAAGGATGCCTATGACACAGAGAAGTATATACGAACCAGGGTGGTAGGTCGATTGGAAGTTGACCATAACAACCTTGGTCATTTTCTATGCTCTTCAAATAGGGAGGTTATTTATCTTCCTACAGACCTTGAACCTGTATACGGCTTTGTCAAGCATAAGAAGGACCTTCCTTGCAATCCAGAGAGTGATGATATTTTTTATTCTAATCTGTTGGATAAGTACATGGAACGCCCTCAACAACTTTGACTGGGCTGAAAAATATTTAATAGACACATCTAATAATAGTTGTCGTTCTAATTTACAACAGGATGATGACAACTCAGATGAGGAAGACACGTCAGACGTATGTCCGGCAGTCCTCGTTGACCGAATGGGCAGAAGATGGAAACAGCGCAAGGTTGAAGCTGTTGCCCGGTGGAGATTCTACCTTCCGAATGGTGAAAACCAGGAGAGCTACTACATGCAAAAGCTGGTGTTGAATCTGCCTTTGCGGAAAGAAACGCCTGTTATTTCTCCAAACAACATGTCGAAAACGTAGAAGAATGTGCCATTCGTAACCTGATTGAAGAGCAAGACGACGCCATGACTGCTCTCCAGGATGCCAGGCAAAGAGAGTTTTCCCTCGCTCGTCTGCGCAAGATGGCACAATCCTTACGGGACATGGACTGGATCGGTGAAAACGAATTCAATACGTTCATTGATGAGGTAACAACTGCTCATCGAGCCGATGCAGTCAAAGATGAAGAAGAAGTCACTGATGCTGACTTCAATCCAGATCATGCAGATCTAGGTAACTTAAGGGTCAATAACAATCGCATTGACCTGCCAGAATTTGAGCAGACTCTGTCACCTTCACAGAGGCTTGCTTATGATTATATTACACAGTTTCTCTCGACAGGTAAACAACTGTTGACTACCATTGTGGGAGAAGCTGGTACTGGCAGTCATACCTTCTGAAGGGTAATATAGGTCTTGGTAAGACAAATAGTGAAATTGATGACATTCTTAGATCTAAAGTTGTTTCAATTGATGATATTGATGCTATTGATCTAAGTAATGCAGCCATTATTTGTTCCTTTAGAAGGGAGCGAAACCATTGGAATAGTATCTTTCTAGACAAGCTTGATACAGAACCTTTTACATTTGATGCTACTGATTCAGATGTAACAGGCAATCCTCTTTCAGAAGCTGTTAGAAAAAAGATACGCTCTTATCACAAAGAACGACTCGAGGATACCCTTATTCTGAAGGTGGTTGCAAGAGTTGTTCTTACCAAGAATATAGATGTTGAACACGGCTGGCTGAATGGTACAATCGCCAACGTTGAAAGTATTCGACAAAACTATATTACTATTGAAAATGTCAAAACTGGCAGGAAGACTGTGGTGACCAGGATGAAGCAGAGTCTTTCATTCCCTGGATCCGCAGTTCAGTATGTACGTACTCAATTCCCCTTCTAGGATGGGCATTGACTGTCCACAAAGTTCAGGGTATGACGCTTGAGAAGGCATACATATTGCTGAACAAAAACTTCTTTGCCAGCGGCCAGGCGTACGTTGCACTGTCAAGAGTCAAGTCGCTAGACAATCTTCACTTGCTCGACTACGATCCAGGTGCAGTGCTTCTTAAACCGTTCTACAGAGACCTGTTGGAGTGGATGAAGCAAAAGGATGAAATACGAGTTGATCGGGATGGCGACAGTTCAGTGGAGCCAGAATACCCTATACGACCCCCTGAATCTCCTAAAGACAAAAAGAATTCCAAGAGGCCTTGGAAAAAGATGGACCGACATCCGCCAGTGCCACCTAAAAAACCGAGAACCTGTAATGCAGGTCAGAAGGAGCCGGCGGAGCAGTCTACTTCAAGCAGACCACCATCTAAGACGAAGAAGTCCAAAAAAGGCAATGAGGGTACAAGGGACCGGCAAATATCTGAGATATTTGACGACCACCACAACCTTCAAGCTCTTTGGAATGCTATAAACTTTCCTTTACATGCATCAGTAGACACGTATTTACAATACAGTGCTCAGTTTGATGCAATTATTGATATACTGCGTGGCATTGATGTACTAATGTATATTGATCTCCCTTACAGACCGATTGACTACCAGCAACAAGTACTACTCCACCCTGTGCTTCAAGGGTACTTGCGAGCAGTGAAGACAGACGGTGATGGAAGCTGCCTGTTTTATTCCATCTGGAAGCAGCTGTTCCCTCATCGCGAAACAATTGACATTGCGAAGTTCATGAGACAGATAAAATTGTACCACATCTACAAGGATGAGCAACATTTCAGACAGCTGCAACGTCAATTCGGCTTTGAACGCACATACCAGAACTATGTGAACGAAATCAAAGTGCTGCATGCGCACTGTGGTGATTTTGCACTGCTTGCTCTCTCCGACTTGCTTAACTGGCCCATATATTATTACCAGTCTTTTTTGATGAATTTTGGCTAATTAGGAGGGTGGTTCTATTCAGTTTCATGTAATTATAATATTTCACAAATTTACATTGAATTTTTTCTTAGCAAAAGCATACATTTATATTCTTTCTATTGCTAATACATATATAAGAATTTGCCCATTGAAATAACATGTATGTAATGTGGATTGGAAACATTTTCAGATTTCTGTTTGCTCTTTAGTAATATTTTCATACATTTTCATACATATGCCAGAGATTTTGCCCATACTTATTAAAAGAGAACAGCTTTTGGGTTAATTAATTGTCATTTTTTAAGTATATACATTTTCTATGAGAGCTTTGTGTTAATGAAACTTCAAGAAGTAGTTGTCATTTCAAGAAGTGATGTTCATCGGTAAAATTGCATTTGGACCATGATTTTATGCAGTTTTCAACATTGAACTGATGAAGGATATACATATCCTACCATTGACTGATTTTATCCATGGAAATGACTTTTATTGTCAGTTGGCCAGAAAATTTCATTTCAGTTTTGAGTAATGTTTTATTGATACATATTCATACATAGAAAAAGAATTTGTCCACATTGATATTCTGATTTGTTTTTCAATACATGTTTAAGTGAATTTGTTCATGATTTTCCACTGAGAAAGACAAACTGTAATTATTTTCTTGGGGCTCTTCTTTCAATCTGGACATTGCAATGATATGGCAGACATTGGTGATTTAACTATCAATATTTTAAGATTGTTATATATTTCATATTTCTCTAATGATTATTAATAAAGGTTTACTACCAAAATTGTTTCAGGGGCACGGGCCACAGTATTGTGAATCACTACAATTTTGTTTGTATGAGTTTTGAACATTTATTTATATAATATAGAAACAGTCTGAACCAGTTTAGGAGGGCAACTTCTCATTGTTAGGGTTTTTGATAGGGACGTAAAGACAAATCGATTGGTGGTATTGGTTTTGGGGTTACACCTAGTAATGACGTCACTATGACCGGTTGAAGTTTTGGCACTTTTCAGTGCTGTATCCTATATAGCCACTATACAGTTCCTATAGAGTATATAGGTTATACGGTATAGACTGCATTTCCTAAAGGCTTTTCCTATACATTTAGGCCCATTTGCTGGTTTGTTTACTTTAGCCTATTGTTTAGGCAAATAGCAGGTATTTTAAGGGTTCGAAACAAACGGAAGAAATTTTGATCCTTCTGCCTACTATTTGGAGTAAGAGGGTACATTTCCTATAGCATAAGCCTCAAATCTTGATTGGCTAGGAAAGGAATCACCGCCACAGGAATCGTCTTCGAACTGAACCAATAAGGTTGCGAGAAAGTCTTCGAGAAGCACGTTTTTTGGCCTCATGAACCCCCTCCCTTTAAAAAGAATCTGATCACACATACAGTGGGGGAATGGGATAAAACTTGGCTATTTTAATCCAATGACCCTGACGCACATTTCCAGAAAGAGCAAACATGCAATCTCAAGTTTTGGAAAGTTATGTAGTGAAATGTCAAATCCTGCGCCATCAGCCTTTTTTCTGTTATCATGGTTGAATTCTGGGATTTGACAGACGTGTTTTGCTGAGTTTATTCTACAGGGAGCTGTTTTTTTATGAGAAAACTATTACCAAGAGTTTAATGTTGCACTGTTATCATATCTTCAAGTATTGATAAATCACGTTTTGCAATTTCGCACAATGAAGCCTTTATCCTCATACTTTCTTTCATATTTTCTGCAAGTTGTAAAGCTGTTCAATGTTGGCAATTTTTCTTGTAAGGATCAAAAGTCTGCAGGGAATTTCTAGAACTTTGTAAAAAAGCATGCCAATTACCAACAGCATAAAAATTGTGCAAGTGTAAAGATTTAACAGCCATATGCAAAACGCTATTCCCATCATAATCACAAATTCAACACCTTTTCGAAAAAAGTTTGCTGTCAACATAATTTGCCTTCTTCTTATAGCAACCATTATAGGTGTTTCTCCACGCCCATTTTGAGAATTAAAATCTGCTTCATGAGTTACAAAAACTCCAAAAAAATAATCCAAAGTATGCCATTTTTCTTTATCTTCATCCCAATATTCAATCACTTTATGTAATAGCGTATTTCCTTCATCATCACATTCTTTCAATACTTCTGGATTTGCTCTAATTTTGTCAGCTTAGTATCCACAAATGTCCCATTTTAAATAAGAATATAGACCTTTCACAAAATCAACACACCACTCTAATCTACCCCATAATAGTCCCCTGGGGAATAAAATGGGGGAGGGGGGAGTGGTGTGAGCCCGCAACTGTCTTTGTGCTGTCACAAGAGAAGTGGCCCCTACCTATATCTACCTATACCTATAAACGGTATATCAGTGAATTTTGATTATATTCCAAAAAAGTCCTCTCCCCCCTCCCAAATTACCCTTCCCCCCCCCACTACCCCTTACCCTCTCCTACAACAACCAATGTGTACCCCTACCCCAACCAGGAAGTAGGATTGACAAAGACACCCTTGCAATGAGAACCCTAGAAGAACCTACCAGCCTGCAAAATGGGCCTAATGTAAACAAATGGGCCTAAATGTATAGAAAAACCCTATAGGAAATAGCATCAGCGTCAAATCTTGATTGGCTAGGAAAGGAATCACCGCCACGGGAATCGTCTTCGAACTGAACCAATAAGGTTGCGAGAAAGTCTTCGAGAAGCACGTTTTTTGGCCTCATGAACCCCCTCCCTTTAAAAAGAATCTGATCACACATACAGTGGGGGAATGGGATAAAACTTGGCTATTTTAATCCAATGACCCTGACGCACATTTCCAGAAAGAGCAAACATGCAATCTCAAGTTTTGGAAAGTTATGTAGTGAAATGTCAAATCCTGCGCCATCAGCCTTTTTTCTGTTATCATGGTTGAATTCTGGGATTTGACAGACGTGTTTTGCTGAGTTTATTCTACAGGGAGCTGTTTTTTTATGAGAAAACTATTACCAAGAGTTTAATGTTGCACGGGGGTTGTAGCTGGAAGAAGCTGAATGTTAATACCCACAGGGCTTCTAATTACAACTTTCACAAGTTGTCTTCTTCCACAATTTCATCATCGGTACTGTCATCATCTTTGTGCGCATTAGACGTTGGGGTTTCTTTGATGTCTGGGTTGAAGTTAGATTCATTCGCTGTTGGGGTTTCTTTGATGTCTGGGTTGAAGTTAGATTCATTCGCTGTTGGGGTTTCTTTGATGTCTGGGTTGAAGTTAATTCATGTCGCTGTTTGGGGTTCTTGATGTCTGGGTTAAGTTAGATTAATTCGCTGTGGGTTTCTTTGATGTCTGGGTTGAAGTTAGATTCATTCGCTGTGGGTTTCTTTGATGTCTGGGTTGAAGTTAGATCATTCGCTGTTGGGTTCTTTGATGTCTGGGTTGAAGTTAGATTCATTCGCTGTTGGGTTTCTTTGATGTCTGGGTTGAGTTAGATTCATTCGCTTGTTGGGGTTTCTTTGATGTCTGGAAGTTAGATTCATTCGCTGTTGGGTTTCTCTTTGATGCGGTTGAAGTTAATTCATTCCGCTTGGTTTCTTTGATTCTGGGTTGAGTTAGATTCATTCGCTGTGGGGTTTCTTTGATGTCTGGGTTGAAGTTAGATTCATTCGCTGTTGGGTTTCTTTGATGTCTGGGTTGAAGTTAGATTCATTCGCTTGTTGGTTTCTTTGATTTCTGGGTGATAATTAGATTCATTCGCTGTTCGTTTCTTTGATGTCTGGTGAAGTTTAGATTCAATTCGCTGTTGGGGTTCTTTGATGTCGGGTTGAAGTTAGATTCATTCGCTTGGGCGTTTCTTTGATGTTCTGGTTGAAGTTAGATCATTCGCTTTGGGGTTCTTTGATGTCTGGGTTTGAAGTTGATTCATTTCGCAGTTGGGTTCTTGACTTCTGGGTGAAGTTAGAATTCATTCGCTGTTGGGGTTTCTTTGATGTCTGGGTTGAAGTTAGATTCATTCGCTGTTGGGGTTTCTTTGATGTCTGGGTTGAAGTTAGATTCATTCGCTGTTGAGGCTAGGGTCTTCATGGCCTTGAGAATCTCCTCACTGCAAACTGTACATGCCCGTTTCTCTTCACTGGACAAGCATTCAGTGTGGAAGGAGTGCCCACATGTCTGGAACAATATGATGCCAGATCCTGTCTCTTGGTGTGTACAGTCGGCTAAGTCGCATTTGCTACAACAAAAATTTCGTTTAAGTTCCAGACATTTTATAAAAATTTCGTATAAGTGGAGCATATCATTTTATTGTAATTTTGAAGGCAATTATTATGAGACAATGAGACCTAGCAATAATTTGTGTTCGGTTCAAAACATATTTTACTTTGCATTTAGTTGTTATTCGATAAGTAGCTATAGATTTTTAACTTGACAATACTAAAAAAATTGATTTTGACACCAGCTCATTTCAAATAATCAGTAAAGAGTTTATTTCTAAACTTGAAATTGGCTATGTAAATAGGACAAGGAATTGAAACAAATCCAAGGGTATATGATTTTGGATATTGTATACTTGTAAACAGTTGTATACTAAGCAAAGTACTTATATTTTATATATGCACTAAAAACAATTTTTAAAAATTTTTTGCTAAAGTGTTTTTATCTATTTGGCAGTTTGTCCAGCTCTCGGTGCTACAAACCTTAAAGGATTTGGTTCCTTCCCTGCAAACTGAAATCCTACTGGTAGCACTTTCGATGAAACAATGGTTTCTCCATATATATGAGGCAGTTTCCAATATGTCATGCCTTTTTGCCGATTTGCTGGGCGATTGACTTGGGATGCTGCATTTGGCTGTTCCTTTATACTTTTTAAAATGTTGAAAATATTTTTTTTATGCCTTGATTTTCAGCTATTTGAGTTTTGAACTGCTGAAGTTAAATTTTTTGGCCTCACAAATGCTGATGAAAATTTAGCTGATGTTGTCTTGTTGCTGTCAACTCCTTTGGCCTTTCTTGAGATCAGTTCAGCATCATCAGATTGCACTGTTTGTGATCTTAAGAGAGAGTGGAAGTTCTCCACTGGGTATTCATCAAAAGCATTGAGGCTGCTTAAAAGAGCTTGAAAAAGTGGATGATTGTTAGCCTTCCAAAACAGAATATTACTTAGCCAGACCAAAGGAGCTTTGTTATAATGATGTCTTTTGTAGCAAAAGAACATTAACCAACACCTCAACACTGCATCCAGGTACTCAGAGGTTCTTCCAGTTTTAAAGATGACTGAGTAGATAGACAGTACAAGTGGAAGGTAATTGTCTAAGATGTTCAAGAGAGTTAAGAACTCTATGCTTTTGCAATTGGAGAAAATGACAATTACTTGTTCTCTGATGAGTGTCCACCCACCATAAAGTATCTCTAACAGCAAAGAAATTCTCCATGGTTTTGGCTTGTTTGCAAGTTGCTTTTTATCCCCAAAGATAAAGGAATAGAACATTTTAAAGAAGTCAATGTTTAGAAGGCAAACACATTCTCTCGCATTCAGCTGAATATGCAGAGGACCAATCATTGGTATAATGTTTTTCAAGCAAGATGGAAAGTTTTCAGGAATGTTATATGAATGTTATTCTGTTGGTATATACTTTATCATTTCTTTTGGAACTAAGCAAAATGTTTTACCATTGATGGTTGCTTCCTCAAACAATGGCTGTTGAATCTCATCTGCAGATTGAGGTTCCTCATGGAGAACATCCACAGAAAATTCTTGCGAGCCAAAATTGCTAGCTTGAGATGATTGGCTTGATTCATAGTCTACAATGCTTTCCTTCAACTGAAATTAAGTTGTTAAAAGATAGTTTTATCTGAAGAAGAGACACACGAAAATATCAAGATGACATACAAAAAGTAGATGTTTTGAAGACCTTAGTGGAACTACAATTATTTCATAATGAAATGAAATTAGCATTTGCGTTATTGCTGCTTCATGTGTCTGAATTACCATAAATCCTCTAATAAGCCCCTACTGCTACTGTTAATCCTAGAATTGGCCCCCCTTAATTTGTTAAACAAAATACCCCTTCCCTTCAATGCTAAAAACTTTTGTTGAAACTTTTAAATGAATGCAATCTTAGTAAGGCATTTGTTATGAAAATGTAGAGACAATTAATCAAGCATAATTGAAATTGTTCCAGCACTTTATCAGGCAGTCGGTACAAAACTTGTCCCTGAGTTTCCTATTTTTTTGTTCAAACGCAGTATAAAAAACACTTTTCTGGCCAACTATGAACTTTAAATTAAGAAAAACATTCGAATTACTTCTCCATTCGTCATGTTTAGAATTGGCACATTGCGTATTATATTTTCTTCCCATTTCTGTAAATTATCAATTTCGTAACAAGCGAAAACGAGTGTTTCGATTATTTTTTCCCCACCTACAACCTGTGTATGGGCAGCGGGGGTAACACACCCCGTTGTCAGGAATTCGATTTTTGTAATAAAATCTTACACTTTAAGACAATAGACATATTGTTTAATTGACAATAGATATTTTGTTTTACCAGATGTACCATCTATTCCTTCTTGATCCCCCCGTTTGGGATTAACTGGATTCGATCCACATTTCGCGCCAAAACTGTTTTTCCGATTCGCACTATACCATCGTAAATGTCACGTGAGTTTTACGAAGTTTCCATGTTTGTGGATGTTATGTTGCGAAACAGTTATATGAATTTTGTATCACCTAAGATTATGGTTGCCAAACCAACAGCTTTGTAAGTACCATGTTTTAATTTTCTAATTAATTTGAAATGCTATTGAAGTTTACCACCCTATGGATCTTATATTTGAACGGATTCTTATTGGCGATACTAATAGCCCATATCAACATTAGCGAAACATTTTGTGCAGAGAACATTTTAAGAAGCGTGAAAAGAAATGTTCGGGGTTTAAGTTGATACTATGTTGTCATGTAGGTATTTAGATTATTCAAGTAACCATATTATTTCGTTAGATATTTATCAAAATTTACAAGAGCGATAACTTTCGCAAAACTTGAGATCGCGCGTTTGCTCTTTCTGGAAATGTGCGTCAGGGTCATTGGATTAAAATAGCCAAGTTTTATCCCATTCCCCCACTGTATGTGTGATCAGATTCTTTTTAAAGGGAGGGGGTTCATGAGGCCAAAAAACGTGCTTCTCGAAGACTTTCTCGCAACCTTATTGGTTCAGTTCGAAGACGATTCCCGTGGCGGTGATTCCTTTCCTAGCCAATCAAGATTTGACGCTGATGCTATTTCCTATAGGGTTTTTCTATACATTTAGGCCCATTTGTTTACATTAGGCCCATTTTGCAGGCTGGTAGGTTCTTCTAGGGTTCTCATTGCAAGGGTGTCTTTGTCAATCCTACTTCCTGGTTGGGGTAGGGGTACACATTGGTTGTTGTAGGAGAGGGTAAGGGGTAGTGGGGGGGGGAAGGGTAATTTGGGAGGGGGGAGAGGACTTTTTTGGAAACGCTAACCACTCGCCTTGATCCTTTAATGGTTTCTTTAGTTCTCACAAAATTTTGCCTAATTGTACAAACAACTCTAAAATAACCTATCTCCTTACATTCTTTGATCATGTTCATTTTGCGAACATTTTTAATGTGAATAAAATATATACTGGACGCGACCACCTGCCAAATTTGAAACATAACGCGTTAAGAATGAGAGCCATATTAAATTACATTAATTTTGACGATATTGACACCCAAAACTACATCCAGCGAGTTCAGTTGTGAGTAAAAAACGCCAAAATAAACAGTCCCAAATTAGCTACAAGGGCGGGCATAGAGAGATGACTCACATTTTCAACATTCCAAGTCTAAAGGCTACAGATTATCAATGTTGGACCCTCTAATTCATTGCTGTTTTAGAGCGATGAAGAGTCACCTTATGCGTGCCATGAGAGAGGATCATGATAAAAAAACGCTCAGCCAGAAGAAGAAAAACTGACAGGCAATATACTCAACACCGTTTTATCTTTATCAATTTTAGACGAACATTGGCCTTGTAGCTCTAGCAGATATATTTTTTATATAATTACTGTTCTCTATATTCACTTGAGGGTATTACAGTATTGTTATCTTTTTTTTCTCTATCGTTCAAAGATACTCAACGTTTTTGCTTTAATAAATCTACAGGCAGTAAAATCTTCGAAGTCTTTTCAAACTTTCGTTCAAAAATGTATCTCCATAAGAATGAAGTTAAACCAACAACGCTTATACAATCGTCCGTATACGCTGCAATGTGCAAAACCGACTCTTTTTGATAATTTTGGCTTATTTAAGATTACAGAGCCACATTCTACCAAACATGAATTAGACTTGCATTTTCTTATGAACAGGGAATCATTATCAGTGTTTCACTGATTTTATCATTTCTGCCTCAAGATTCAGCGCCATTTTTAATAAGTTGTTTTTAATAGCATCTATGTTCCCATTCCAGAGCCCAAATATTTCTTCGTCGATATTTTGATTATTCGATGTATGAACGTTATTTCCAAATCGTCCCGGCTCATCCAAAACATAAATAGGATTATTTTTTACCATAATACTAATTTACTCTTAAGTGAACTACTTTTTTATCTGAGGCTGATTTCAACAATTCCGGCAAATGCTTCCCTTGTTTTCCGTTTACTCCAACAAATATTGTATTAAACATCGTCTCTTATACTCTTTTTTCAGAACAAAACTCAAAAAAGAACCCACAATGATAAAAACTTGTATACAGACTTCAAATTTTTTTAAGACTTAAATGAACACAACTTCCGCATTAATTCAACTAACCTCAATTTTTTAAAACACCAAAATTTATAGCATTAGTTTATATCAAAAAAAATTTTAAGTTATGTTACTTATATACCAGTCTCTCCAAAAAAGAATCAGAGTGATGAACCATGTATTTTTTAAATATGTTATCATATCTTCAAGTTATTGAATAAAATCACGTTTTGCAATTTCGCACAAATGAAGCCTTTATCCTCATACTTTCTTTCAATATTTTCTGCAAGTTGTAAAGCTTGTTCAATGTTGGCAATTTTTCTTGTAAGGATACAAAAGTCTGCAGGGAATTTCTAGAAGTTTGTAAAAAAGCATGCCAATTACCAACAGCATAAAAATTGTGCCAAGTGTAAAGATTTAACAGCCACTATGCAAAACGCTATTCCCATCATAATCACAAATTCAACACCTTTTTCGAAAAAAGTTTGCTGTCAACTAATTTGCCTTCTTCTATAGCAACCATTATAGGTGTTTCTCCACGGCCCATTTTTGAGAATTAAAATCTGCTTCTTGAGTTACAAAAAACTCCAAAAAATAAACCAAAGTATGCCATTTTTTTTATCTTCATCCAAATATTCATCACTTTATGTATAGCGTTATTCATTCATCATAACATTCTTTCAATACTTCTGGATTGCTTCTAATTTTGTCAGCTTAGTATCCACAAATGTCCCATTTTAAATAAGAATATAGACCTTTCACAAAATCAACACACCACTCTAATCTACCCCATTAATAGTCCCTCTGGAATAAAAATGGGGGAGGGGGAGTGGTGTGAGCCGCAACTGTCTTTTGTGCTGTCACAAGAGAAGTGGCCCCTATCCTATATCTACCTACTACCTATAAACGTATATCATGATGAACTTTGATTATATTTCCAT